ACCCCATTCATGCTTTTCTCCTCTGTATGTATTTCGAATGTAAGTTTACTCGACCTAACTGGGGTAGTATACAACTATGCAGGGAAGGCTGTTGGAAAACATTGTTTCTCAGCTGCAATTAAGAGTGTTGGTCATAATTTGTGGAGCAAAAGAGTTCATTTGTGATATAATTAGCTGGTCATTGTACACTTACTCATTTATGGGCTATCCTATTATTTGACATTTCACATTTATGACAATAGTAAAAAATGTACTGTCTGACTATTTTGCACATTAATGGCATACATCTGGCAGTAATGAGCACTGGGGTATTAGGCAAGAGTAACACTGTTGTGATCGTTAAAGTTATGTGTCAGCTTGGCTTGTCCATGACTCTTAGTGATTTGACAGTTACATAATGATGTGATTTGGCAACTATGTAATGATGTAATTTTGTAGTTATGTAATGATGTAACTTGGCATTTATGTAATGATATAGTCATCCTATATCGTTACATAATGGGTGTGGAAGCAGCTTTTAAGGGCAGCCCAGAAAGGTGAACTGGGCATGGGGTGTGTAGAAGCAGCTTTAAGGGTGGCCTGGAAAGGTGAGCTGGGAGTGGGCGATCATTTGGAAGCAACTTTAAGGGAGGCTGAGAGAGGTAAGCCAGCCACAGAGGGGTTTGAAAGCAGCTTTAAGAGAGGCCCAGAAAGGAGGGCTGGGCATGGGGTTTGGAGCAGCTTTAAGGGAGGCCAGGAAGTGAGCAGAGTGGTGTGGAACAACTAAGGGAGATGAACTGACTGTCGGCTTGTCATCCTATGGTGGCTTCTGTGTTGCAAGGAGGCTAGAGGCTATACCACCAGTGTAGCAAATGCCAGTAGGGTCACCCATGGTGGACAGGTTTCAATGGAGCTTCCAGACTAAGACAGACTTGGAAGAAGGAGGAGGCCATCCACTTCTCAAAGAATTGGCCAATGTAAATAGTGAAACACTGTCTGATATACTACTGGAAAACTCATTGTCCAATATAGTGCTGAAAGATGAGCCCCACAGGTCAGAAGGCACTCAAAATATGACTGGGAAAGAGCTGCCTCCTTGGAGTAGAGGCAACCTTAATGATATGGATGGAGTAAAGCTTTTGGGACCTCCACTTGATGTAGTGGCATGACTCAAAATGAGAAGAAACAGCTGCAAAGATCCATTAATAATCAGAACATGGAATGTACAAGTATGAATCCAGGAAAATTGGAAGTTGTCAAAAATGAAATAGAATACATAAAGATTGATGTCCTAGGCATTAGTAACCTGAAATGTACTGTTTTGGGTCATTTTGAATGAGACAACCATATGATCTACTATGCTAGGAGTGACAAATTGAAAAGTGAAGGCATGGCATTCATCATCACAAAGGATGTTTAAAGATCTGTCCTGAAGTACAGTGCTTTCAGTGATAGGATAATATCCATACACCTACAATGAAGGGATCTCTGGTAGCATAGTGGCTAAGGCACTTGACTGCTAACCAGAAGGCTGGCGGTTCAAACCCACCAGCCACTCCTCGGAAGGAAAATGAGTCAATCTACTTCCGTAGTGATACTGCCTCGGAAACACAAGGAGGGGTCGCTATGAGTCGGGTCAGACTCGACGGCACATAACAACAACAACAACAACGCAATGAAGACCAGTTAATACTACTACTATTCAAATTTATGAACCAACCACCAAAGGCAAAGATGAGGAAACTGATTTTTTTTTAGCAACTTCTGCAGTCTGATATTGATCAAACATGCAATCAGGATGTGTTGATTATCTCTGGTGATTGAAATACAAAAGTTATAAATAAAGAAAAATCACTAGTAGTTGGAAAATATGGTGTTGGTGGCAGAAATAATGCTGGAGAACACATAACAGAATTTAGCAAGACCAATGACTTTTTCATTGCAAATACCTTTATTCAACAACATAAGCAGCACCTATCACGTGGACTTTGCCAGATGGAGTACACAGGAATGGGATTGACTACATCTGTGGCAAGAGGTGATAGAGAAGCGCAATATCTTCAGCCAAAGCAAGGCCAGAAACTGATTGTGAAACAGACCATCAACTGCTCATATGCAAGTTCAAGTTGAAGTTAAAGACAATTAAAACAAATCCAAGAGAGCCAAAATATGACTTTAATTATATTCCTCCTGAATTTAGAGACCATCTAAAGAATAAATTTGATGCATTGAACACCAATGACTGAAAACCAGAGGAATTATGGCATGACATCAAGAACATCATTCATGAAAAAAACTCAAAATCATAAAAAAAAAAACAAAAACAAGGACCATGTTTGCTGGTCTGGTAGAACCTGCTGAAACCCCTGAGACTATGGCCCCTAGCTCTAGCCTTCTTCAGGTCTGGAATTGAATCCACTCCTGTGGCTTCCAGCCAAACAACAGGCATATGAGCTGAGCATTTACATTAGGTAGATACACTCCTTGGTGAGATCAATCATGGGAGAATAGAAGGGCTATGTATGCACAGGGAGACAGCTTGAGGGACAGGGGTGCATGGGAGGGAAGGACACAGGGAAGACCTGGCTACGGGGAGTAAGTGGGAGGAGAGCTGTTGCATTGTGGGAGATTAAGGTCAATGTGATTAGACAAAGTGTATGTGAACTGCCAGCAGAGGAGCATCTCTCTCTCCTCTAGATCCTTTTCCAAAGGGCTTACCTAATTAGGTCAGGCCCACCAGGGATAATCCTTTTTTTGGTGATTTAAAGTCAACTCCTTAGGGACTTGAGTTAAGTCTGCAAATTCCTCTCACCTTTGGATTATTCTTTTTGTTAGATGTAAGTTACAGGCTCTGCCCACACTCAAGGGGAGGAGATTGCACAAAGCCATAAGCACAGGGGGTGGAGATCGAAGGGATCATATAAGAATTCTGCCCACTACAGTCATTCCTTCCAGGCAGGAAGTGGGGTTCACATTTGTAGACTTCCGTATGTTATTTGGAGAACGTTCAGCAATATCAGGAACATGTATGTGATTATATTAAAAATGTGAAAAATAGAAACATGGCCCTCAACTGAGATGAGTCTTTAAACCAGGATTTCTCAGTGCTGGCACTACAGGTGTTTGAGGCTAGACAGTGTTTTGTTGTTGCTGTGGAGGGCTTTCCTGTGCATTGCAGAATGTTGGGCCACATCCCTAGCCTCTGCCACCTAGATGCAAATATTAACTCATCTCCCATTTGTGACAACCGAAAATGGCACCTTTGCAGTTGTTATCATTAAGTGTGGTCGAGTTGATTTGGACACATAGTGACCCCATGTGACACAGAAGAACTGCCCAATAGAGTTTTCTTGGTTGTAATATTGTCACATGTTGTTTCCGGAGGAAAATCCCCACTGATTGAGAGTCATTGCATTAGAAAAATGAGGTGTGCTTTTAAAGAAAGACCTATTCAAGTGGGAATTTGCTTTTTAAGGTGATGCAGCTGTTTGAAACCAGCACGCTCTTGTTCTGCTGCTATTGCTTCTGTGTTATATTTGCTGATTTCCTTTATTAAAAAGAAAATAATGTGATTGCAAATAAAAAAAAAATAAATGCTTTTGCTATTTTTCCTACTTGTAGTTCCTTGTTCACATGGGTGACAAAATGAGATGATGTTATCATATTTGAGTGTGTTTTCTACTCTTATCTTAGTTTATAGTCAAGGAATAATATTAATGGCACATTAGTTCTGCTGTAACATAGGTTGGCTATTTCCCAAAAGATATTTCATGCATAAGGCAAATAAATAAGCAAGCAAATAAGCCCTGTTCTTTGTACTCTGAATCTGTTCTTGGAAACTGGTAATATAACTTGGTTTGGGGCACAGTTGTTAAGAGCCAGAAATGGTGCCTATGTGTTGGCCCCAAGTTGTTTACTTCTTCAAAGCAAGCTGCGGCTCATCACCCCAAATTACAAAGCCCACTCATGCCAAATTCAAATTTGCGTACATCCAACTCTTTTACAAATAGCCCAGATAAACAGATTTTTAGCCACATAGATCCTGCCTGCTTTACATGTGCCGCAAAACTATACCCAACATCTGTTAGCCCTAGATAAGATAAAACACTATAGATCTAAAAACTCCTAGCTGTGGTCTATGAGTCAAATTGACTTGACAGCAGTGAGTTGGGTTTTTTTTTTTTTGGTTTTGGTGGCAAATAGGTTAAGTACTCAGCTTCTAATGGAAAAGTTGCTGGCTTAAACGTACCAACAGCTCTGTGGGAGAAAGATTTGGCCTGTAAAGATTACCACCTAAAAACCCCGGAGGCAGCTCTGCTCTGTCACAGGAGGTTGTGGTAAGTCCAGAACTGAGTGGACAATACCTTACAACAAAGCTGCATCAGCCCTTCAAGGTTCTCTGACCCAGAGACCCCACCTCGGTTAAGAAGGACATCATCAAGATGCATGTGAAATACCTTCTCCCTACTTTTGTTCTTCCTCAGGGTTTTTCATTCCCTTCTCACCTTCTGATGTCTCCTGCCCTGCTTACCCCTACCTGTGGGGCACCACTGCCTGCAAGCAGTTCCGATAAATAGCTTATTGTGCAGTGCTGTTTTATGGCCTTTCCTCTTTTCTCAATGGTGGTGTTGTTGCAGCCATTGAATTGGGTCCTGAATCGTGATCACCCCGGGCACACCTGGATCAGACTGTTCGGATCTCTAGGATTTTCACTGGCTCATTTTCAGAAGTAGTTTGCCAGGCTTCCTTCCTAGTCTGTCTCAATCTGGAAGCTCCTCTTAAACCTGTTCAGTATTATGGAACGACGCAAGCCACCACTGACAGACAGGTGATAATTTTGCTTGAAATGCATTGGCCAGCAATTGAACCGGGGTCTCCTGTTTGGAAGGAGAGAATTCTACCACTGAACCACCATGCCCACCCCCCAGCTCCTAATTCTATCAAACTGACTACATCAATGCAAGTGTGGTCCAGTTCAGAAATTACAAAACTCAAGAGCTGCGCATTTTCATTTTTTCTAGGCAAAGGCAGCTCCAGCATCTCATCTGACGTGAGCTCAAGTACAGATCACACACCCACCAAAGCCCAGAAGAATGTGGCTACCAGTGAAGGTAAGCATCTGGTCTACATCACTTTGCCTTCTCTTCCCAATGCTGGCTGTGTTTGCAAGACAAATAAATGTGTTGGACTCAGTCCTGTTCTACCGAGTGGGAGCATATGAGAGTCTAAAAAATGAGAAGACAAAAGGGCTCCCATGTGTCCTTTTGGTTGCATTGCTGTTTATGTCCATTAAAGTTGGTTTGATGGATTGTAAATCTCTCAATTCTAAGGCAAAGGCTGGTATTTTGTGAACAAATAATAGGCTGAATTAAGGATAGCTTTTATGGCATTATATATTTGTTTTTCAACGTGGGAAATAGCGTGATTGTAAATCCTTGTGCTGCAGTTGAATTTTTATGCCAAAATGTTCAAAATAGGTGGGCCTGGAATTCACGATTGGAACCATGGGCAGGTCACAATCATGTAATTTGTTCAACTTGAACTAATCACCCGTATTTGGGAGTAGGAACGTAGGACTGTCTGATTATTTAAAGAATAAGTGAAAAGTTCTATGGGGAAAAAGATTGGTCACACTGATATTCTTGATAAAGAATTTGACTACATGTAGTAGTTTAATAGATGTTGGAATCCGACCACTTCCCAACATAGGTGGACATTTTTATTTATTGTTTGTTCCAGGGTAGAAGTCTGTGTTTCTGTGGTCCTGTTTGCAGAAATTTGACCCTATCGTGGAATCAGTTCCTTTTCTTTTAAAGTTAAACACAATTAGACAACTTCCTTTCTGAAGAAGAGTGCTTTCTCAACTATTTGTCAAATGAAGTTACAGTCTAAGACATCAATGAAATTTGTAATAAGATCTAAGACATCAATGATACTTGTAATAAGAGACTCTTTTTGAGGTGTCAGCTGATTTTCTTGACGTTGTGTGGGATTCTTTGGGTCCTGAACTGTACAGGGTGTTGAGGAAGCACGTTTTCAAGCTTACTTTCTGCTGCTCACAATACTGGGAGCAGACTCATGACCTGACCCTGGTCATCTCTGGTTTGATTGCTGTTGATTTGTGTCACATGTGTCATGATGGTTTACCTCTGCTGGCCTATGTCTTCAAAATGCTTTTTGAGTATTCTTTAATTGGGTGTGTTTCTACATTCTGTAGTAACTAATTAACCCAAGATTGATGTGTAAGTAGCTTTTACAACTGGCTTATATTCTCTTTTGTTAATGCCTTGGTGTTGTCGATGAAAATCCCCAGCACTGTAAGACATATGCATTGAGGAATTCTCTTAGTGCAGTGAAGCATCAGGTAGCAATTTAGGTTTAATTTTCTGCCTGCTAATTCAAATATGAGCGTTAGATCATTCTTGAAATTCAGTTAAGGTAATATGCAAATTTGCTTAATCGATTCTAGGCATTTGTTTGGAGGCTTATGTTCTCATGAGCCACAGTGGAAATCACGTCAATTTAATTTATCTGAGAGCCTCTCTAATTGGAAATCTGTGTTTTGCTAGATTATGTCTTCTTTCCACCCTTTTTAATGGACACTCCTGTCACAGTCATTTGTGTGATTTGAGGAGCTATGAAAATACAAAGTTAAACATATGTTAAAGGACCCCTCAGTGCTTCCCTATCAGGATTTAAGTTTCCTCATTATTTTTGTTTCGTTTCAAAAATAGAAAATGCAAAATTCTGTGTGCTGCATTGTTGGGGAGGGGAGCGACCATGAGACTTCATGTGTTTCAAAATGTCTGATCTTTATGCCTCAGAAAAACTCTGTAGGGACTCAAATTTCTCATTTCATGTTGCCTTTTCCTTAGAAAAATTCATTTGGCCCAGGCCCAGCCAATGTTTTATACATTTTGTCACTATGTATTTTCTGTCATTCTGCTGGGAGAATCAGGAGAAAAAGTGGGAAAGTAGGATGTTTCTATGTAACAGAACTTTTAGCAACGGGGCTTAATTAGGATTTAAACTAGAAATTCTTTTTAACTCTTAAGGGGAAGAACCCCATCTGACTGAAAATACTCCCGCGTCCTTCTTTATCTGAAAAATTCTTTAAAAAAATATTATGTTTTACAGAAAATAATTTGGAAAGATTTGTATATATGAATCTATATCCTTATTAAGTTATTTGAATCAATGAAATGAAAAGAAAAAAAAAAAGAAAAGAAACTAAATTATGTTAAACATGCAAAAGCAAAGCACAAAACAAAACAAAAAGCACAAACTTGCTGCTTTTGGGTCTATACCAACTCCTGGCAGTCCCCATTGGGTTTCCGAGGCCATAAATCTTTACAGAAGCAGACTGCCTCATCTTTCTTCTATGGAGCAGCTGGTGGGTTCAAACCACTGACCTTTCGGTTAGCAGCCAAGTGCCTTAACCACTGCACCACCAGAGCTCCGGGATCCATAGTTATTGTTGTTATGTGCTGTCGAGTTGGACTTGACTCATTGGGACCCCTCCTTGGGTTTCTGAGGTGGCATCCCTAGGGAAGTAGATTGCCCAACCTTCCTTCCGAGGAGTGGCTGTTGGGTTTGAACCGCCAGCCTTCTGGTTAGCAGTCAAGTGCCTTAGGCACTATGCTACCAAAGCTCCTGGATCCATGGTAGTTGGTGCTGTTTTTCAAAGTGCACAGGCTACAGAGACCTGGTGCACACTCAGGGTGTGTGGTTAGGGTGTTGGGTTTTCAGACCTCCATGGGGGGGATTGTTATCTGATGGAACAGTCATTTCCTGCTCCTCTTGTCAAGGAAACAACATGAACACCGATTTCTTACATATTCCACCAAGGAGCGACATTCGAGATGCTCCTCTGATTCATTTCCCACTGTTTTTACAACTGGGTTTAACCTTTGAAGGTAAGAAAATATTGGGTGTGTGGAATAACAGCTTTCCAGAAGTTCTTTGATTATGGCTATTTTCTTCCCCATTTTAAGATTTTTCACCTCTGAGTTCATCAATATTGCCTTCGAAAAGCACAGGCAGGATTCTTATTTGAAAGATCTGAGTAATAATGACTTCTAAAAATGATACATATTGTGGAAGATAATGATCACGCTTTCTGTAGACTTTGAGAGCCAGGACTGGGCATTTCAGAGCACGGTGTTGGATTTTTCCTGGGATGGACGTGGAAGGTACTGCAGTGATTGACAATCTGTGTGTGTGTGTGTGTGTGTGTGTATGTATGTGACCTCCACTGGTAGGTAATGGTGCAGGCATTAACCCTTACTGGGAAACATGGATGTGCACACTCTGTGTAAAACATGAAATAAATTGAGGACATGGGAGTAGACAAAAGGGAAGGGCATTTATCTTGTGGCTGGGGGTGGGAATGGAAACCCTGGGTGTTACAAGTGGTTAAACAGGCAACTGCTAAACCTAAGGTTGGGCATTCAAATTCAAATTCATTTCCCAGCACCTGGGAAGAAAGGCTCCAAAAGATCACAGCTACTGAAGACTCTATGGTACTTTTCTTGGAATCTGAAATATGTGAGGTCATCATGAGTCAGGATTGGCTCATGGGAATTGGGTTAATTATGAATGGGCCTGAGCAATCTTACTGGTGAGATGAACATGTTCTAACACTGGATTGTGGTGGTTGCTGTACCACTCAGTAAATTTACTAACTCATTGAATTGTCTTCATGGGAAAAAAAATAGAAATGTTAGGTCGTTCCGTAGCTGCTGCTCCTGTATGACCTTCGGACTGGTATCTAAATTGTTACAGATTGTTGTTGTTAGGTGCCATCGAGTTGTTTCTGACTCATAGTGACCCATGCACAGCAGAATGAAACACTGCCCAATCCCATGCTGGATCCATGATCCCTGCTATACTTGAGCCCATTATCGCAGCCACCGTGTCAATCCAACTCGTTCTCTTTGTCTTTCTTATATTATCTTCTTGAGTGTACCCCTCCAGCAGAATTCTTGTGAGTTGCTCAGTGAGGGACCAATGATGCTTCTAACTCAAGTGGATTCTGTTGCCCAAAAGCCTTCATTAGAAATGATATTTGACAAATTCAACGCGTCTTTTTGGGGACATGTATTATTTCAGGCCCTTTCCTGTGCTCTCATGAGTGTCGTTGGATTCAACCTTCGTTCGTCATCATGCTCTTCTTGAGATATAGGTATAAATGCTTTATTTTGGCAAATGAAGACCCTTGAAACTCTGAGGAGGTCCAGCCCCAGGTCAAGTAAAATTAGTAAGTGCAAAGATGGGCAGTGAGCCCTGATTTTCTGAGAATTTTTCTTAATGCTGGTTTTGAATTGTCCCATGCACAACTGAAAATGTCAAATTCATCATTTTATAAGTTTATATCAAAGTATATCTTAAAAGCATGCAAGAAAAGTACCTTTGCAAATATCAGTCTAATAATGTGTAGATTAGCAATTATTGTACATGGAAATACACTCGTGATCTCTGTGAACTCTAGAGATTATCTTTATATCCTTAGTTATATAGCAAGAGTCAAGATTCTAAGCTGCTTTTATAGCTTTTTTGCTGGCCCGATTAAGCCTGGTGGAAACACTGAGACTATGGCCCCTAGCTGCCCTTCAGGTCTGGAATTGAATGCACACGTGTGGCTTCCAGCCAAACAATAGACAGGCATTCTAGTTGAGCATTTACCTGAGGTAGATACACTCCTTGGAAAGAACAAGCAAGAGAGAAAGAGGGGCTGCTAAGGCACGGGGAGACAGCTCGGGGTAGGAGTGCATGGAGGGATGGACACAGGGAAGAGGTAACTATTGGGAGGAAGTGGGAGGGGAGTTACTGCATTGTGCTAAATTATGGTCAATATTAGACAAAGTGTATGTGATCTGCTGTATGGAAAGTGTATTTACTCTGTAAATTTTCACCCAAATCACAATTTAAAAAAAAGATTCTAAGCTGCTTTTATATGGACTCTTGAAGGGTTATGTTACAGGCTACACAACTGTGCCCTTCACATATTACATCGGACAGGCTTGATATTTGAAATTAATATTTATGTTAATCATGTTAAAGTATCTGTGTTGTTGTTTTCAGGTGCCATTGAGTCAATTTCAACTCATAG